GGTCCGGCCCCGCCCGGGGCTCATCCTACAGCCACCGCATTGGCCCTGGATATTGCTACCCACGTACGGCTCCGACCCCGCCCGGAGCTCATCCTGCAGCCACTGCGTGGCCCTGGATATTGCTACCCACGTACGGCTCCGACCCCGCCCGGAGCTCATCCTGCAGCCACTGCGTGGCCCTGGATATTGCTACCCACGTACGGCTCCGACCCCGCCCGGAGCTCATCCTGCAGCCACTGCGTGGCCCTGGATATTGCTACCCACGTACGGCTCCGACCCCGCCCGGAGCTCATCCTGCAGCCACTGCATGGCCCTGGATATTGCTACCCACGTACGGCTCCGACCCCGCCCGGAGCTCATCCTGCAGCCACTGCGTGGCCCTGGATATTGCTACCCACGTACGGCTCCGACCCCGCCCGGAGCTCATCCTGCAGCCACTGCGTGGCCCTGGATATTGCTACCCACGTACGGCTCCGACCCCGCCCGGAGCTCATCCTGCAGCCACTGCGTGGCCCTGGATATTGCTACCCACGTACGGCTCCGACCCCGCCCGGAGCTCATCCTGCAGCCACTGCATGGCCCTGGATATTGCTACCCACGTACGGCTCCGACCCCGCCCGGAGCTCATCCTGCAGCCACTGCGTGGCCCTGGATATTGCTACCCACGTACGGCTCCGACCCCGCCCGGAGCTCATCCTGCAGCCACTGCGTGGCCCTGGATATTGCTACCCACGTACGGCTCCGACCCCGCCCGGAGCTCATCCTGCAGCCACTGCGTGGCCCTGGATATTGCTACCCACGTACGGCTCCGACCCCGCCCGGAGCTCATCCTGCAGCCACTGCATGGCCCTGGATATTGCTACCCACGTACGGCTCCGACCCCGCCCGGAGCTCATCCTGCAGCCACTGCGTGGCCCTGGATATTGCTACCCACGTACGGCTCCGACCCCGCCCGGAGCTCATCCTGCAGCCACTGCGTGGCCCTGGATATTGCTACCCACGTACGGCTCCGACCCCGCCCGGAGCTCATCCTGCAGCCACTGCGTGGCCCTGGATATTGCTACCCACGTACGGCTCCGACCCCGCCCGGAGCTCATCCTGCAGCCACTGCATGGCCCTGGATATTGCTACCCACGTACGGCTCCGACCCCGCCCGGAGCTCATCCTGCAGCCACTGCGTGGCCCTGGATATTGCTACCCACGTACGGCTCCGACCCCGCCCGGAGCTCATCCTGCAGCCACTGCGTGGCCCTGGATATTGCTACCCACGTACGGCTCCGACCCCGCCCGGAGCTCATCCTGCAGCCACTGCGTGGCCCTGGATATTGCTACCCACGTACGGCTCCGACCCCGCCCGGAGCTCATCCTGCAGCCACTGCATGGCCCTGGATATTGCTACCCACGTACGGCTCCGACCCCGCCCGGAGCTCATCCTGCAGCCACTGCATCGGCCCTGGATATTGCTACCCACGTACGGCTCCGACCCCGCCCGGAGCTCATCCTGCAGCCACTGCATCGGCCCTGGATATTGCTACCCACGTACGGCTCCGACCCCGCCTGGAACCAAGCTGAGTTTTGCCCTGAATGTCGCGCGGAGCAGGCGCCACGGGATACTCATGAATTGTGAGACAAACTGTTTCCCTTTGTTACTTTGCACCGGTTGCCCTCACGTTTCTGTCCCTGCCTGGGGTCTAGGAGAGCAGAAGTCCCCAGTGACGTTCTCAAGCTCGGTGCTTTACTGGTGACCCCTTTCCCGCAGCAGGTCACCAAGTGCCACGCCCGCATGATAAAGCACCTGTTTGCATTTAACACTGTTCTAAATGCTGGGAGCCACGCCGGGCTGGCAGCTCACCACCACCACATAAAACCACCCGAGGTCCCTGCCTGGGGTCTAGGAGAGCAGAAGTCCCCAGTGACGTTCTCAAGCTCGGTGCTTTACTGGTGACCCCTTTCCCGCAGCAGGTCACCAAGTGCCACGCCCGCATGATAAAGCACCTGTTTGCATTTAACACTGTTCTAAATGCTGGGAGCCACGCCGGGCTGGCAGCTCACCACCACCACATAAAACCACCCGAGGGGTTCTGATCCCCCGTTTGGGACTCCCCTCGACAGGGGCGGATGAGAGCGCCGCAGAGCCCCGGGCAGCGAAATTTCACAGGGCCCGTCCTTTGACACGGCACATGCGCAGGGTCTCGGGAAGTGCGGGGCC